CCGGGGTTGGAATTCACGGTGTCAATGCGAAAGAACTCCAGTCAGCTTTGCAAGGGCATCAACAGCATTCGCTCACTCACGCTGATATAGCTTTGATTCTACTTGCAGAAATCGCATATGAGAACGATGAAGATTTCAGGGAGCATCTGCCTTTGCTCTTTCATGTCACCTTCGTTTCAATGGATAGTTCTGAAGATATCGTGCTAGAGCATTGTCAACACTTGCTTGTGAATCTCTTATACTCACTTGCGGGTCGGCATTTGGAACTGTACGAGGTGGAAAACAGCGATGGAGAGAACAAACAACAGGTTGTCAGTTTAATCAAGTATGTGCAATCAAAGCGAGGGAGCATGATGTGGGAGAATGAAGATCCAACCATTACGAGAACAGATCTTCCTAGCGCTGCTCTTCTGTCAGCACTTGTCCAGAGTATGGTCGATGCCATATTCTTCCAGGGAGATCTCCGAGAAACTTGGGGAACTGAAACTCTGAAATGGGCAATGGAATGCACTTCAAGACATCTGGCCTGCCGGTCTCACCAAATATATCGAGCACTAAGACCGAGCGTAACAAGTGATGCTTGTGTCTCCCTTCTACGATGCCTTCATCGATGTCTTAGCAATCCAATACCTCCAGTGTTGGGTTTCATTATGGAGATCTTGCTTACATTACAGGTCATGGTAGAGAACATGGAGTCAGAGAAGGTCATTCTCTACCCACAGCTTTTCTGGGGCTGTGTTGCCATGATGCACACCGACTTTGTCCATGTCTACTGCCAGGTTCTCAAGCTCTTCTCCCGTATTATCGACCGTCTTTCCTTCCGTGACAAAACAACCGAAAATGTACTCTTGTCAAGTATGCCTCGGGATGAAGCAAACCCTAGGAATGACCTCGGGGATTTCCAGAGGACAGAATCTAGAGGGTATGAGATGCCTCCTTCAAGCGGAACTCTGCCAAAGTTTGAAGGTGTACAGCCTCTAGTGCTTAAAGGGCTAATGTCAACTGTTAGCCATGACGTATCCATCGAGGTCTTATCAAGGATCACAGTGCCTTCCTGTGGCTCCATTTTTGGTGACGCTGAGACAAGGCTCCTCATGAACATCACCAGTCTGCTTCCATGGCTTTGCTTGCAGCTCAGCCATGACCAAACTGTTGGCCCTGCTTCACCGCTTCAGCAGCAGTATCAGAAAGCCTGTTCCGTCGCAACCAACATCTCAATCTGGTGCCGGGCAAAATCACTGGATGAATTGGCCACAGTTTTCGTGGCTTACTCCCGAGGAGAGATCAAAAGAGTCGATAATCTCCTATCTTGTGTTTCTCCTCTGCTGTGCAACAAATGGTTCCCTAAATATTCAGCTCTAGCTTTCGGGCACTTGTTAAGATTGCTAGAGAAAGGACCAGTGGAGTACCAAAGAGTCATATTACTAATTCTTAAGGCATTGCTTCAGCACACTCCCATGGATGCATCTCAAAGCCCTCACATGTACACAATAGTGTCACAGCTGGTAGAAAGCACTCTGTGCTGGGAAGCACTGAGTGTCCTCGAAGCCCTTCTTCAGAGCTGCAACCCTTTGCCGGGAGGGACTCATCCTCAAGATTCCGGTATATCGGAAAACGGGTCAGAGGAGAAAACGCTTATGCCTCAGGCATCATTCAAGGCAAGAAGTGGACCTCTTCAGTATGCAATGATGGCTGCAACAATGTCACAAGCTCTGCAACAAGGTGGTGGCCCGACAGAGACAGCGTTGGCACCAAGAGAGGTGGCTCTGCAGAACACAAGGCTAATCCTCGGACGAGTGCTCGACAATTGTGCATTGGGGAGAAGGGATTACAGAAGGCTGGTGCCATTCGTGACCACCATAGGGAACATGTGAGTTTTCTGCAATTTTTGGAAGAAACTGTGTTAAATGTAAAACTCAGATTTGCACTGTTCTGTGAATAAAATTAGCTTGGTCAGTGCGATTTCAACACAAAAGGGGTATATTTCTATTTATTGAAGAAAAAACCTCAAAGGATCCCAAGAAGAAATCACCGGAGAGTGAGGTCGAAAGTACAGACACAGACTTTCAAACTCCATATGACTGTCTGAGATTATAGTAAAGATAATTTTGAGCTAAATAATTAACCAAAACTATGGAGGTAGGCTCATCAAGCCTTGCCATTGGCTGCTGGGTTAAGCTCATCCCAAGCCTCGATCCATGTGACCATAGCTTCTGAAAGCTTGTCAAAGTAGGGATCTATGGAACTGAGCTTATCCTTCACCATCTTGGAGAGCTCAATGTAGCATTGTTGAACAGTGGTGCACTCCTTTGAAAGCTTCACGTTCTGGAAGAATGGGATTATCTCTTCTTGCCAGAAAATGCCTTTGTATTCCTTCTTCAGGTTCACAAACGGGTTGCTCGCCTTGCTGTGGTAAATGTAGGGCAAGCCTGTCTTCACACCCATGCCCAGGTGGTCACAGATCACCTGAGGAGAATTCACCCAAAAGGTATATCGGTAATCCATTCTGAGGATAAGAAATTAACGACGGCTATATTCCAAACGAGTTTCAGAGAGATGAGAAAGATACATACCTTAACGCACCAACCAGCCCACATATCGTCGTAGCGTCCAATAGGCTGGCCATCACCCATGAGACCAAAGTACATGGCCGGGCCAATCAACTCACGGTCAAAGGCCAAGTTCATACCACACATTGGGAAGAGGGTTCCCTTTGGGATGGTCAAGACAGCATCCACATACCTAATTATGTGATAAATAAACACGTTAGCAAAGCATGCCTATAACTTGCAAGAAAACACTGAACATGGACAAAGATCGGTGAAAAATATGGTTTTAGTACCTGGTGTTCCTCTCCATAGGTTTCACGAGTTGGGTCGGGGCATCATAGTCAGGGATGTTTAGCCAGAGACCATGAGAAACAGCGGTAGGAATTCCCTCACGGAGACTGAAAGGGTATCCACGGACGAAATCAGCACCCTCACGGTAAGGATCGTACAAGGTGTTGAAGAAAAAGGGGGACGATGGAGAGAGAAGGTTCTTGATGTGTTGCTCAAGAGCGTTAATCGCTTTGCCTGATGGGTCCTGGGCAACCTATACACGAAAGGGAAGTACAAACAAGAAAACCACAGAATGATATCCAAAGCCTGACAAGTTCCAGTCATCAGTTGTACATGAAATCTCAAATGTCCAAAATTCGTTTAAAGAATACATATTTTAAGATCTAAACACGAAAGACCGAAAGGCAGATATTCTTGATGAACACATTACATGCGGCTGGTAAACTGCTTAATTTATGGAATCAACATCAATTGCCTGCAGATCCTCTACCAGGGTACTCAATCTATGAACATTCTCACACAGACACATCACTTGTGCTGCAAGAATACAAATCTCATTGTGTACTGAAGCTCGTCTTAGGACAGGCGCCACAGACATCAGGACACCAAAGAGAAACTAAAGTTAAGAACTTTATTTCCCTAACCTGTCGGACAATGATATGCGAGTACATTGTAAAGTTAACTATCATGACACAGATATATCAGCTATACGATGTGAGAATCCTGGTCAAAACAAAGTCAATTCCTTTTCAATAGAGCAGGCATTATGAGACTTCCAACAAATAAACAGATCGAGACCCACTAACGATATGGATATTTAGATCCAACTCAAAACAAAAACTTGACCTTGCTAAGCGGGATTTCATCACTAAAATTTAAGATCTGACAACGATCCGGTCAACGGATCTCGCATCAAATCTATCAAACTTTTAAAAACAAAGAACCAATCAGAACTTAAAACAGAACCCATGAACAGATATCGCGCTTAAATGGACAAAACTTAAGCGCCCAGATGGCAGATGCAGGTCAAGTAGGAGAACAAAAACCAAGAAAAGAAGATCCACAATTCAGTAACTTACGAAGCAATCATCGTCAATGGTAAAGATGTACTTCTTCTTGGACACCATGTAACCGAAGCACCGACAAGCCGAGTCCTTGAACGAAATGCAATTGGATTTCGGACCCAGGATCCGGTTGATATCGTTTCTGTTGTAGAGCTCGTAGTCGAACCCTTCAGGAACATTGATCTTCTTCGACGGATCCCCATCCTGGACGATGATCAGATGGTAGGGTTGGAAAAACGGCCTCCACATCTCGAGGAAATCGAGGTTCCGGATCGTGGGGATGACAATGTCGAGCTGCTCCTTCAGCGCCGGCGTCGGGTTCACCGGGATTCCAACGGTTTTCGCCGGCTCAATCATGTTTCTCGGTGGGGGGAGAGATCTCGGATCGCGGTCGGACTTATCCGTTTGCGATACGCGTTTTTTGGTCTTTCGTGTTTGAAACTGAGATGAACAAGGGAGACCGAGGTTTGTATTTATTCACACAGGTTGGCACGTGCGAGGTTTGACACGTGTCAGATGGAGACTCGTTTCTTTATTTTTGAAGAAACAAAATTAACATAACCCCAATTTTGAGAATCTGATATCCTACCAAATGATTAGTAAAACCTTTTGGGTTTTTTTTCTTTCTCAAAGATATTATTAACGGAATTTATTTTTACGAATCAGTTAACAGTTTATTGCGAAAAGAACTGAAAATCTCTTAATTGAAAATCCCAGCAAAGATAATTTTGGAATGTAACTAACATATTTTTTTACCGGAAAAATGTGTGTTTCATATGTGAATTCGGATTAATTTGGGAATTAAATTGGCTGAAACCGGCCAATTAAATGCATAGATAAATGTATTTTGCGTTGCTTTTTGTGGAAGAAATTATTAAATGCATAGATAAACGTATACACATGTGTTTACAGAATCTCATACGAGGAACATAAATATCTGTCATATGGTATATTTAATTCGTCTTCCTGGTTATGTTTAGAATACCGGAAAGTCGGTGGGTGTAAATTGGAAACCAAACCGGATTCAATTTTCCGGTTCAAGCTTAAACAACATTGTACCAATTTAGACCGCAACTCACTAACTTCACTTAGGTCAATCCCTCTCCTTATGTTTGTGGGACAAAACAGAAGATCTCGCCGGACACGAGGAAGATGAGTTCACGGCGAGGAGCGCCGAAGCACCAGAACAAGTTCGCGTGGAAACCAAACGCTGGAGTCAAGATCAACGAAACGGTACTGTTCTGTCGACCATTCTCGACGATTTAAAGCCTTTACGGCAAAAAAAAAAAAAAAGGTCTGGTTTTTCCTTCTTGTTGATGTTCTTTGATGTTTCAGGAAGTCGGTGGTCGGTTCAGACCGTTGTCGGATATCACCGGAGTTTGTCCTCGTTGTCGGGAGCAGATCGATTGGAAGCGCCGTTACGGCAAGTACAAAACCCTAACGGAACCCGCCAAATGGTGTGAATGTTGATTCTTCGGCACCTTTGAATTTAGGGTTTTTTCTGTCGGTTCTGCAAATTCGTTGTTGAATCTGAACTGAAAAGATTGTTTCTTTGGGCGCAGTCAGAAGTGTACGAAGCGCAATGTTCGTCAGGCGTACCATAAGTTATGCAATGGTTAGGGTTCTGCCTTTGCCTTGTTATCTTTGTTTACAGAACCAGAAAGTGTGTTCTTGAGTAAAAGGAGGATGGATTAGTAATGATTTAGATTACGGAGTAGTGATGTATATGCCATGGTTATGAAATCAATGTATAGGTTGTGCCAAGGAGCAGAACGTGTGTGCTAAGTGTTGCTGTCGTGTTGATCAAATTGTCGGAAGGTAAGTAGTTGTTTGGCTTCCAAAAGAAAGCTTTTTCCTTTACTTCCAGTGGAGTGTATGGTGCAGATTTAGTTTGATTTTTGTTTGAGCTTGTCTTGTTCATGATTTTATAGAGATGTTTCGGAAGTTGAGGCTGAGCAGAAGATGCTGGAAGAGGTCCGTATTCGTTCTGTCTTGTGGAAGCCAAAGAAGGACTGGGAAATGGGAATTCTGTTTAAAGTTCGTGTTTTTTACGAATATCTTGCAGGCTATCAAGAATGCTAGGGAAAGAGATAGGAGATCGCTTTTGCGCGCTGTGAGTTTCTCAATCATTACCACTCTTCTAAGTATGCATGCATATCTCAGACAGACAAAGCATAGATATGAAGTGCAGTTACTGTTTCTGTCTTGAAGTGCTATAGATTTGCAAAACCTTCAGTCCATTCACTCACTAGAGTCCTTGAGATGGGCTCATGTGGTTTTGAGATTTGGCGAGTCATTGGTAATGCGAGATGCTAATTCAGCAATGGTATAGCACCGACAATGAAGTTATCTTTGTTGGATTACGATAGTTGAACCAGGACCGGTCCAGCAAATATTCTACATATAAGACAGCACGGACAGGACGTCGTGCCCGTTCTAAAGAATCAATTGGGAATTTGTCTGCTCACTTGTTTCAGACATGTGCTGAAGAAGACAATAGATATCCGACCATTATTTACAAGCACATTTGTCTTGCGATTTTGTTTTGGGTTTTTGTTTACGTTGTGTTTTATTCTTCTACTTAATTTGAGGAGTTTGTGCATTTGCTTGACACAGATGAACAAGGAGAACAATCCCAAAAAGTCGGATAAAGCTCCAACCAGGAACGACGGCAAGGTCGGCGACATATTTCCTTCGATATCTCTCGAAGAGTATGCAAACTCGGGAAGAATCAGCAAGATCGGTAATAGTAGTGTCCGCGATCAAGACCATGATGACGATGACGACGAAGAAGAAGATGCTAGTGGACCTGACTCCGATGAGGATCATGCCGTTGATGATGCAGAGGAGCCTTACTCTCAACAACATGAGTGAACTCCCAAATTTTGGAACAACTATACACTAGTGTTTTGTTTATGTTATTTCATATATTATCCATTCAGATCATGACAGTCATGGACATAACTATGTTTAATTCGTGAATAAGGTAATGAATGTAAGAATATCCTATATATTGATTCATTCCTTATCATCATATCACCTTCATGGAGAAAGCCGTTTCTTCTTCATCAACTACTCACAGTACGCACAGACACAAGAACAAAACTCAAAGAATGACAAGATACCTGAAAGAATGAATCATGTAATCAGAGTTAGATGGGCTCTCTCAGATCTCAATCAGGGATGTTCTCATCCATTCCCGTCGAACAGAGAAGGAAGGATGCTACTCATCTTTAGCGCACAAACGCTCTGCAAAAAGTAAAAAAAGGATTGAGATGAAGCGACTGTTATAACGAAACTCGGTGTGTTTTCAACCATGATGATGATTCGGGTTTTAGGTTTTCGGGACAGGGTGCTTACTCAGGTATTCGTAGGTAAGGATCATCGAGGTTCCCCAAGCCGACATGCTGAAAAATCTCGGGCCCAACCCCCTATATAATCCTTTCCACCCGTCCTCCGCTATCAGATTCTTCACCACTTGTCTAGCAGAAAGCCTTTCCTCTTGATGCCCCATCACCTTCACAGAGATACAAGTGCTTCAGTATAGATAACATCATAAATTTACAAGATGTACGCTGAATAGGTTTTTGCTGATACCTGTAGCCGTGTTTTGATAGTGTCCAGAGGAGTCGTAATTGAGGATGCTGTAGCACCTGCGATGATTCCCCCACAAGCCTGAACAAGCACAATTTTCGACTGACTTGGAGCAGCAACCTCTGATTCCCCACCATATCCTAAGAATCTGCCCAAAAGCATTCAGAGAGGAACAGTAGCTCTAGTAACTAAGAAATTCCTTAGATAATTCTGCAGAAAATTTTGATGCAGAAGATTCTTATCAGCCCAAGACACAGCAACATATCCTAATAACCACCCATATACATTATCTCGAAACATCCATTTGAAATGAAACCTAAGGAGGTTGAATCAAAGTTTATGACCAATTATCAAGCATTTATGTCTAACCTCCAGATGAGACGTTGGCTCGACCCATAGCTGGCCCACCAAGCAGCACTTGATGGGGAATAGGTCATGACAGACAGACCAAAACCCCTGTATAAGCCCCTTACACCATCTGACTTCATAACTTTTCGAACAACATCAAGACCACCGGTATATGTCGCATGACCCGAGAATCCTTGCACCATCAACTTTTGGCTAACCTGCAAAAAAGAATGAGAAAGGATTTCAACAACGCCTGTTTCTCCAACTAGAGCAATATGTGGCCATAAGACGAAAACTAACAAGACATACCACATCGATTGGGACAAACACTGCCTGTGAGAAAAGAGAAGCTGTCATGCCAGCAATGCCATTTGCTATTGCCGCCTGTGTAGGTTCACTGAACTTGAAGGGTTCGACCAACTTAAAAGCAGCAATTTTTGTGGTCTCTAAAGCAGTAAGAAAAATTATCCTTGCAGGTATTGCGCCTGTAATTACAGTACCAAAGCCTCGGTACAGACCAGGAATACCCTCATTCTTCAGCAAGCCTTTCACGACAGAAAATGCATTTCTTTCAGCAACATCTTTAGAAGCGACCTGAAGCCTGGTTTTCACAACTGACACAGGGTACAGAGCCACTGTGACGCCCGTAAAGAGGCCAGCTCCAACTACATAAAATTTTGTTTTGTCAAGCCTGCATATAAAAGAGAGACATGAACAAGGGATTTCTTCTCAAAAGGAAAATTTCAAATAATTCTTCTACAACTTGAAATTGTCATCGTGCTTCTAATAACACTGGTAAATCAGGATCTATTAGGAGTCTTTCACCCAGAATTTCCACAGATTTGAAAGTTCCATGATCCATTACATAGAAAAAAACTGTGCTCATACCCATAGTTAGTCTTAACGTTTCTGCAACCAATCTTTCCATGAGAACAAACACACATCTAAAATCTATTGCAGAGAAAGAGGATTCCGGTGTTACGCCATCGTGGAAATTTTTTCATAGTGAACAAGGACTCTCGAGATCCAAGAACTAAAACTTTTCAACCTAGGAGTTTCACAAAACAGATTGAATCAACAGAAGTGTAGCAGTTACATGAGAAAATCACATCAATGGACAAATTTGAAACAGAAAGGAACCCTAGACCTAGACGAAGATTTAACACCTACCAAAACTTCCACCAAATCTTCACAAGAAAAACACTTCGATTCAAGAAAATCTAATCACAGACACCAGCAATTTATCTGCTATTCATCTAGGAAATCTAATCATGTCTTCCAGCTAATATTCCCAATACAAACCTCCCACTTCGATATCCGTTTCTAGCCGAAAAACTCCCAAAGGAGAATCATCCGACAGACAACCAATCGCAGAACAAATCGCATTCGAAACAAAATTCGGGTCGGAGCAATCAAACGATGTTGAACTGCAGCACAGAGAAGAAGAAATCGAGCCAGAAAACTGGCGACTCGAAGACTAACAACAGTAGAGAGTCTAGAGACAACAAGAAAACGTACTTGTCCCAGTTAATCTCCGTCTGCACGAAAGATTCGACACGAGAGCTCGGCCTGCTCATGACTCGCGTGCGACGGAACTGAGTCGAGGTAAAGAATTTGCTCACGACTCAGGAAGAAGGCATCTGCATCAACGGAGACCAGGTGATGAAGAAGAAGTAAGAGCAGTTTTTTTTTCCTTCTTGCAGATTTCTTGGAGGCAAAATAAAAATGGAATTCCGTGCCGAGAAAAAGCCCTTTTTACAAAAACAAAACTGGCGATTGCAAACGCAAACGCGTTTCACCAAAACTTCGGCGTTTGAAGTCAATTCCACCCGGCCATGCTATCACCCGAACAAAATAAGGTAGAGAGATTCCATGTTAAAAGAATTCCCTTTTATTCACTGAACCGGAAATTAAACCGGGTTTTACATGTACTGGACCGGATTCCGGTATGGTTATGTATCTGGGCTTGGGCTAAAAAACCAAAATCAGCGAGCGTCGAGAGTCAAAATCATTGGATTATGTAAAATGGCTGAAGGCCGTGAGTGGCCTAAATGCTTGTGCATTAAGTTAAATTACTACACTTGGCACACCATTTTCTCTTTTCCCACTAAAGCAAAGCAACCTTCTTTTGGCAAACCCTGCAAAAACCCACAAGAAAAAAATCTAAACTTTTTCTGTGTGTGTATATAAATAATCTTGAAAACTAAAGTAACAAAGATTTAGAAGATAATTAATCGCCACTTGGGTGATTTCTCTTTCTGGGTTTTCTCTTTCAAACCGTGTTTAATCTCGTGTCTTATCTCCTAAGCTTTCCCCTAGCTTATATACGCTGAGCTTCATCAGAGAAAGATTTAACCCAGGAGAAGAACAGACTTCGTCAGGAGGAAATGGCTTTGTTGCGTTGTTCAATCTTCCTCAGCTTTGCCATTTTGGTGATCCTCGTATTTTCTTGGTCATGTTTTACTACAACAGGTGCGCCAATGGAAGAAAAAAACCTTTTTTTTGTTCAGAAAAGCTCAACTCTATGTGATTTTCTTTGTTTCTTGTTTTGTGTTGCCTCTGTTTTCTAGGGTTTGTTTCATGTGTTACTGCAATGCGCCTTTGGGTTTCTTTGAACTGGAGAAAGGTGTCCTTTTTTTTTTTGGTAAAGATGGAGTTTTTCTTTTACCCTTTTCTTAGTTAGTTTTGGAAAATTTTACTACTAGAGGAATGGCATGGAGTTTGGATTCCTCCGGCCTTACTCTTCTTCAAGGTAGAAAATGACAGATTAAGAAAATCATGATGAAATTTTCTAGCCGTTGGTTCTCACTACTGTTCTCACAGGGAAGACCTTCTGATATTAAGTTTCTGTGCCCTATTACAGGAAAAAAGAATCATCTAAATCAAGAAATAAGGCTTAAATCTTTGCTTAATGTGTGCGTTCAATTGTTTCAGAAGCATATGATGCTTTAGACCCAGATGGGAACATCACCATCAAATGGGACATCATGACCTGGACTGCAGATGGCTATGTGGTATGCCTTAGTTTCATTTCCAGTTTCCGCTGTGTTTTTAATGGAGCCCATTTTTTGTCTTTCAAATGTCAGAACTGCAGTCTCACAATGTTGTTTCTCAGGCCGTGGTAACCATATACAATTTCCAACAATATCGACACATACAGGCTCCGGGTTGGTCTCTGGGGTGGACATGGGCAAAGAGAGAGGTTATATGGGGTATGAATGGAGGGCAAACTACTGAGCAAGGAGATTGTTCAAGATTCAAAGGAAACATTCCTCATTGCTGTAAGCAAGATCCTACAGTTGTTGATCTTATGCCCGGAACTCCTTACAATCAGCAGATTGCAAATTGCTGCAAAGGTGGGGTTATAAACTCATTTGCACAAGATCCTGCAACCACTGTTTCGGCTTTCCAGCTTACAGTAGGGCAAGCTGGAACCACAAATAAGACGGTTAGGGTACCGAAGAATTTCACTTTGAAAGCTCCAGGTCCTGGCTATACTTGTAGCCCCGGGAATATCGTCAAGCCCAGCAGATTCATCAGTGCTGATAAACGCAGAATCACTCAAGCATTAAGTAAGTTACCCTTTATCAAGAATATACCATTTCCCTTCTCATTTCTCTAGTGGGACGTTGGATTCATCAGTGTGTATCAGTATATGTGGCACTGCTGAAACCGAAGATTTGATTTTTCTTTTCGGGTTTTTTGGATTTTGTTTTGTGGCAGTGACTTGGAACGTTACTTGCACATACTCGCAATTCCTGGCTCAGAAAACACCCACTTGCTGTGTCTCGCTTTCATCATTCTATACTAATACAATAGTTTCATGTCCAACATGTGCTTGTGGATGCAGAAAAACATCAGAGACAGGAACTTGTGTAGAGTAAGTTCATATAAACTCTTCAGTACCTTTGTATCTGTCACTTCTGGGTATTTTTTTTCAGATTTCAGCTCTTGTTTCTGATTCGTGCAGTCCAAAAGGTCCACGGATTGCATCGGTGATCCAAAGTCCCGGGAAGAATTCTTACATGCCACCTCTTGTCCAATGTACTAATCACATGTGTCCGATCAGAATCCACTGGCATGTGAAAGTTAACTACAAGGAGTATTGGAGGGTGAAGATCTCAATCACAAACTTCAACTACGTTATGAACTATTCACAGTGGAATGTGGTGGTTCAGCATCCGAACTTTGATAACCTCACTCAGATCTTCAGCTTCAATTACAAGCCATTGACTCCTTATGCTTCCATAAGTACATTGTTCCATCTATGGTTTCATGTTTCCATACTTTTTTCATTCCTCATGTTCAGAGAGAAACAATGTAAGAAGAGTTTTGACTCTTGATGCTTTTGCCTTTTGCATTTTTTTTTCTTTGGTCACAGATGATACAGGCATTCTCTGGGGAGTGAAGTATTACAATGATCTGCTCATGCAAGCCGGCCCTTCTGGTAATGTACAATCAGAACTACTTTTCCGGAAAGATCCTTTGAGTTTCACACTCGAGAAGGGATGGGCATTCCCGAGAAGAATATACTTCAACGGAGACAACTGTGTGATGCCTCCTCCCGATTCTTACCCTAGGCTGCCAAATTTCGGTTCATCCCTTATCGGTTCTCGGCCAGTAGCCGTCTTGACATTCTTGTCAGTGACAGCTTTCCTTCACAGGAACCTGTAAAATCCTGAAATGCAGAGTTAGCTTCTGCAAATTTTGATCATCTCTTACAATAGAATGGTGGTGGGCTTGTTTCTTTTGGGATTCTCCTTGTCTGTAACATCTCACACTTGCTGCAAACTAACAGGAGCTGAGAGTAACGTTTCATTCCATCATTCATGGTTTCTGTACATGACAGCAGAGTTGCCTTTTTCTTTTCTTTTTCTCTGTTATTGTGGATCAAGAAGAATGAGACAATGAAGGGTAAACAAACCTCTGCTACAGAACTCGAGTTCGGTCTATGTCCGAACAACGTATATCATGTAATGACGCTGCAATCAGATTACCTAAAAGAAAATAAAGATTATGTTTACGTTTTTGTTTGCTTCTCTCTAGTTTTGATTTTTTTGTGGAAACACTGTCAAGATGCAGTCTTTCAAGGATCAAAAACTCCAAAGAACGAAATTCAAAAGAGACGAGGTTAACGATTCAACCCAGAAAAAAAAAAGGACAATTCTTGATGATGATTTACATTTAATCGATAGAATTGCAGGGGGGGAAATTCATTTTCCAGGTGAGGAAGCGCCTCCGAAGAGGTAACCAAGGGAAGATCCACCGCCAGGAGCCGCATGAACCTTGGTAGATGGTCGGTCCTGTTCACAAACCCAACACAGGTTTCAACCATATGCATTGTTATCATTCACATACATACAGATATACATACATATATATATGTATATGCTGATCATACCGTGAGGAAGTTGCCACAGTTTTGCCCTTCTGATCGGACGTAGTTGTTGGGGCTTCCCCTCACACCTGCCGGGATCTGCTTCTCCTTTGCCTCTGAATTGACACTGGCTGGGGGGGCGGTGGCGGCGGGTGGTGGCTGGGAAGGAGCTTCACCGGATCCAAAGAGATATCCCAGAGAGCTCTGGCCTCCACCTGCACTCACTCCTCGGCCCATCTTCTCTGCAATGGCAAATGCATTAAATCAAATGACAAAATCGAATGATGTCGGAGGTACAGATTGGATTCAAGGTTTTACCTTTCTCTTGTTCCTCTTCTTCGTCTCGTCCGGAGAGAGAAACAGGGGAGCATATACGCGCCTATATACATACATATACGTATGGGCGCGTATGCTTGAAGAGAGAGAATGTGTGGTGAGAGAGAGATGGGGTTGTAGTCATGGGAGGCACGTGTCTCGTGATCTCATAATTCAGATTTAGTATCAACACAGAACTGTTCTTCACCTCCAAAATTTTCTGAACCATGGCTTTAGATTTGTCGTTAACACGTTTTTGTCGGAAAACTGGAAGCAAATCCACATCCATGTATGTATGTATGTATGTATGATAGACATACAACATAGGTATAAGATATTTTAGTAGTGATGCTTGAGGCATAGCTGTAGACTTTTGGTTTATTAAAACACACGAAATGTCAAATGGGCTTTTATTGGGCCGTAAAATTGGGCCGTAATATTGTTCACATAGACCCAAAAGCCCAACCAAAAAAAAAAGATTAATTTTTCAATCAATAAAAGCTCCATTTTTTTATATTCTTACAAGTTTCTAAATTTGGACATTGATGATGTGTTCGAGAAAACAAATGTAATACAAAACTAAATAATAGTGTCGTGAAAATTTTAACTAAAAAAAATGAATCAAAAAATCGAAATCTCTATCTATGTTCCAACCATATCAAATGTTTTTTTTTGTAACAAAAAAAAAAACATGAGCACGTGAAATAGGCGTGAAGCCGAAGAGGATCTCAATGCATTTTCGGATCAAGAAAAAAGAAAAGGAAATGTCAAATCTAATGTTATGGAAAATCTTCATCTCCTCGTACGTTGGCCCTCTTTAGTCTTTTCATTTATCTCTCTCTTTTCTTCCCATTTTTTCATTATATTCGATGAATTTCTTATTTTATTTTCTCACCAAAAAATAATAATTCGATGTCATGTTTAAGAAGTAATGGCAATATAAACAGTTATTAGAACACGGTTAAATATATTTGTTTAAACCCGATTTGGTTTGGTTTGGATAATTTTCGTCTTAATGTAGTTAGATTTAATACAAGGTTTGGTTGTTTGGTTGTTCATTGTTTTTCTTTGTTTTTTTCCTTTCTAATTATTCGTTTTGAGGTAAGGAAATAATTATCAAATTTAAAAATATAATTTTGATCCAAAAGATTAAATGAATGAAAACTATGGGAAGTGTGACAAATACTGTTCACAAAATGGGGTATGGTTTTGTTTTTGTTTTTGTTTTTTTTTTCCCTTTTAGACGCAACTTCCATGAAAAATTCAGACAGAACACATGACTTTGGCGGATCGTACGGATGGTATTAAGTATATATGATCGTCATCATCCTACGGGCAAGATTTCATTGTTGACCCTTTGAAGATTGAAGATTTTCAGTGACGATGAAAGATGCCAGTTGACATGTGAATCAACCATCATGCATCATCCCCTTTCAATACATACATACCGATATCTTTGTTATATAACATATAAATAAGCATATAGATACATATTGTTGATAAACCAATACTTTTAATGAAGTCCATGTTGGTTTATTAAAGTACGTACCGTATTTTATGTTTTTTTTTAATGTCCTATGTGACCTACAAGTTTGGGTTGCTGGAATTCTTTCCGTCTACCCTAAGCTTACATATGGAAGTTTAATAACAATATAGTTAGTATATTATTCACTCTGTTTCCAAATAATTGTTCTTTTAGATTATTTCATATTTTTTAAAAAAAGAGAAAAAAATCATATATATCCTTATTTAATGATAAACACAATGTTATTATTAATAATTTATTAAAATTTGATAAAAATAAAATTAAAAACTATTATAAAAAATGTCTTGAAAATATAGAAAATAAACTAAAACTACGAATATTTTAAAAAGAAAGGAGAAATAACAAGAAAGGAATCTTGACTTACCTCTCTCATGTCCCTTAAATATTATTTTGGCCTTTGGAATGCGTATCCTTTCATTAGCGGTAACCCTACTCTCAATAGGTGGTAGCATATACATACACATATATATATATGATTTTGTATTGGCAAACTCAAAAGGAAGAAACCCCAATGTGATTAAACAAAGGGTGAAAGGTGTGGGTGATAGATAAGTGGGATCATGTGCCAATAATTGAAGTAAATTGACCTTTGGAACTTAGCATAGAAGAAACCATTTTTTAATTTTGAGTTATTATTATTATTTGATATATATATATATATATATAGAGAGAGAGAGAGATTTGCTTAGTTGGTTCCCTACCAAAGCCTCATCTAAATCCATTTGCATCATGTGATTTTGTTCCCCTTTTCTTTAATTATTCCTTTGTATCCCTTTTCCTTTCACTTTGAAATTCCTTTGTCCATTTACCTGTTGTTTTTTTCTCCTTTTTTTTTTTTTTTTGTAAATCTTAATTTCTTATATCATTCACTTTTCTTACATATCTAATACATTGTCACAAATTTCACAATTCCTCCTCTGAATTCAAAATTTCCTCAACTCCGTGTACATAAAAGTGTCTACGAATCATATATATACATATGGTTTTACAAAATTCACATCATTTAAAAAAACTTTATGATATATGATCCTTACGTAGTATATTGTTGTTCTAATTTATCTTGCATAAATTAATTTGTGTGGAGCAAATTAAGAGTAAGCGTTATTATGTGATTTGTTTTTTGTAATAATTGAGTGTTAATGGAATGCTTACTGCCAAAGATAATGGTGAAGTTGATGTTTCCATTAGTGGCTTAGGGCGCACGCAAAAAGCCAACTTGGAGAGAACAATTTCCCAAATTAGGGTTTATATCCAATTTTTGCCCCTTTTTTTCCCACTCCCTTAGGGTTCCCAAACACACCCCCATATAAAGAACATTAATAAGTGCATTAATGAGTAAACAAAACGTTGCATCTCCTTTAAAATTATTACTCCCTTCAATAAATGTCGTTTTTTGTTTGTAAATAGATATTATTTTAAATTTTCTAAATGTTTTTTTATCTTTAATGAAAAATATCTAATTTTAATAAAGTATTAATGAAATGTGGTTTAATAAGAATATATATGACTTTTTTTTTTATATTTTCTTAAAAATTGTGATAAAATCTAAAACGATATTTATTTAAAAATCAATAGAGTACATTCTAATAAAAAAAATAAAATTTTTAAGAAACTATTTGAGATCATTTGCATTCTTTTAATTTTAATAAAGTATTATAATTATTATTATTATGGAAATAGGAGGCTGATACATGATTTGAAAGTCCCACCTATATCCCCCCATGTGTGGTATATTCCTCGGTACTTTCGTAGCCCAACCAAATCAGTTAACATTAATTTGCTCACTTAATTAGCCAAATCAAACAAAAGAAATAATCAATTAATTAAATCCTAACGGCTCCACCTTGTTCACAGCGCATAGTCGAACAAGGCACGTGATTATGCACACGAAAACTTTTATGATCAGTACATCTCAAGGACTTTATCATACAACATCTAATTTAGTTAGAAAACTGACCACTTGTTTTGCTGCCTCTTTTTATTGAAATTTTAATATCTAACTCATAATAAATATAAAATTCCCAAATAAACAATAAATTACTTGAGAAATATATTTGATAAAACCCATGAAAAAAATATCAATAACTCTATATTTACCCAAAATTAGGTTAAAACCAAAAAAAAAATGGGTGACTTATCCGGTGAAGAATGAAGTAGAGCTACTTCCTAATCCGGATTCGAATTTTTATTTGGTGAAGGCATTCACATGAATTTATCCGATCCTCTGAAAAAACGTGGATTCGATAAATTCCCCGATTATAAAAAAAAAAAAAAACTCTTCAAGACTACATTGCCCACGAAACCCACATTCGTTCTACTGTAACGCAGACAGACAAGACACTTATCTACCAACTTTAAAACGACTGTCTGTAATTTCAAATTTAGTAATAATTATGCATTATTCTGTCTTTTTTTTCCCGGTGGTCGGTAATTATTATATCTTCAGGGAAAAAACCTTGTAAAATAATAAAGTATCTCCTTTTCACTAATTTAAATATTTAGTATGTCCATTTTTTTTAAAACAAATTCCTTGTAATAAGGCCCACCAATCCGAGACCATGCAAAGCTTATGTTCCAGTTCACCAATCCACAGTCTTCATATAATTTTAAGTTATGAATAATATTTTTAATTATTTATTTATGGTTATGATATTTCATAATTATTAGTTTCTCCTTTTTTTTTCTGCGTTCCTGACAAACTCCACATGCACATGTAGAGAGACCCACCCCACATTATTTTGTCCACATGGATTCTGTAAGGAAACTTAGCTATAAGCCCTGTCACATAAAAATGATAGAATCTAATTTTTTTTGGTTAATTTTCATTTATTCTTTTCTTATATGTTTGAACACGTTATTTATACTTTTCCATTCATAAAATAAACTCTTATATACAAGTATAATATACAGAGATACACGTATACAAGTGCAGATACATACCTGTATAAATATGCTTTCAAGGCCTCCATGATAGTTGTAGCCTTGCCTTGCCTTTCCTTTCCAAAGAGAAACCTCCTCAGAGAAAAGAAACAAAAGAACATATGTGAGTTCGTTTTTTCTTTTTCCACTGTTTCTTTCTTCTTCAAGGAAACACCTACCAAGAGACACAACGCAGAGCTTAATCTCTCTCTGTCTGGTCATAATTCTACAAGAAACATAACTCTGTTGAATGTTTTTTTTGGGATTTTTTGAGCTCTTTCTCTTTTCTGTGAAGAAGATTCACTCATCTCTGCTCCTGTTTTCCACCTGATTTTAAAAAAAAAAACCTTCCAAGTAAACACCCAGAAGAGAGAAAAAGAGCAATGCAAGAACAGGGAATCTAAGTTTGATGAATTTGTTCTGGACAGTGAAACACAAAGAAGAGAAGAAAAATGTCTGCAAAGCTTCTATACAACCTGTCTGATGAAAACCCTAATCTGCACAAACAGATTGGGTGCATGAACAGAATATTCCATGTGTTCTACCGGCAACATTACCCGACGGCAAGACAAGTTTCCGGTCATGACCACAAGGCCCTGCCTCCAGCTCCAGGTACTCCTTTTTAAAACCAACCTTCAGAAAGAAGAAAAAAAATCCAAGAAACCTCTCTTGTACAAAACAGATATAATAAGATCAACTAAAAACTTCCAAAATGTTTAGTTATTTATTTTTTACCACTTAAACCCTTCAGCTCATTGAATTTTTCTTCAAGCTTTAGACTTTTGGTGCAATTGTATTGTTATGCTATGAACAACAACAACAACAAAATATTATTATCTGTGAAAATGGTTAGAAATACAGTTTTACGCCAATTTGTGAGTTTTTTGTGTAATTTTGGTCCTTGTCCCATGAACGAGGACTGAGGTTTGGTAATAATCACACAGGTTCAGAGGTCTTGGAAATTTTCTTAATTTAAAAACGTTGGAGCTCAGTCAGACCAGTGAGTTTTTTCAACCAAAGTGGTTGTACGCAATTCAATATTTATGACTAAATCTTAGGACGTTTTAAGGACCACTAGAATCAAAGTAGTTGGACAGGACCATGAACACAACTTGGCCGAAGATGATGCAACAAAGAGAAAAGAATTCGAAGACTTACCACTAATTGGGGACAATAATCCATGAAACGCAATATTCTGCAACTCTCCACCAAATTATGTCTGTAATGTCAACATGATGCAAGAGAAAACACATTTGCAAATGTTAGTTGACGCCATAAACCCATGGGACTTCATACTGAAAAAGTGTAGCTAATTCTCCACCATCTCAGAATAGGTGGAAACTGAACAATTATGCGTCTTTTGCAGGTGAAACAAGCGACAACGTCGGTGAAACCAGTGTAAGACTCATAAGCAAAAGTTCATGTTTGAGGATGACATAGAGATTTGAGAAAAGAGAGTTCAGGAAGTAAACTAAAATGTGACTTACGGAATTGCAGGAGAAGAGTAAGAGGAAACCAGTGAAGGAGAAGCAGAGGGTCTCAACTGAATCGTCATCAAGGCCCTCATTTTCATCTTCACCGCGTTCGTCCAGCTTCTCATCTGCAGAAGTCAGCACGGCTTCTAAGTTTGAACCACCACCACTTTTGACTCAGATGAACGATGGTGCAAATTCCATGAGAGAAGCACCCAATGGATCGCCACGTTGTGGAAGTCTCGCGCAATGTGACCTTAGGGAGCTGGTGAAAGGCTCCATTCACAGAGATACAAGAACCAAAGATGAAGCTTTCCCTCGGCAACCCAACACTGCCAGGGCAAGTGTGTCTTTTCTCAAAGAATCCTTACGTTCACCATCTCGGAGTTCCAGCGAATGGAGCGAGGGCCGACGAGCTGCTGCTAGCCTCAACGATAGTCCCCGGCTCTCTTACGATGAGAGAGATTTGAGGAGCAATGGGTACAAGACAGCCACAAAACTGAGAGAGACTCCAAGGTTGTCACTAGACAGTAGATCAAACTCCTTCAGAAGTTGTAGGACTGATGCAAGATCAAATTCCTCACTGGAAGATGGAAAGGGGCAACAACAAGAGCCTGCGACTCACAGGAGAACGACATCGAGTGTTGTTGCCAAGCTGATGGGTTTGGAAGTCCTCCCAGATACTACGGCAAGCAATCACAATTGCTCCTCAGGAGCATCAGTTGCAGCTGATGACAACAGACAGAACCACTTTTGTGACTCTCCAAGGCCTTCCCATGTGGAAGCAGCACAACAGAGATCAAGAGCCGCAGATTCTCTCAAGAAGATGACTCCTGCTTCCAGATTTCCATTGGAACCAGCTCCATGGAAGCAGGTGGATGGCACCAAAGGACGAGATTCATCTCATAAAACCTCGGCAAAAGCAGCCGACTCCACACTGACAGTGTATGGTGAAATTCAGAAGAGGTTGGCGCAGCTCGAGTTCAAAAAGTCTGGAAAAGATCTTAGAGCTCTTAAGCAAATACTTGAAGCAATGGAGAAGACGCAGCAGTTGTTAGATGGTAGAAAAGATGATACTCTGAGTTCGACCATGCTGCCAAGCAACGGATCCACTCTTGTCCAAAGAACTCAGCAACCAACACCAGCTGTTAATATAGTGGCCAAAAGTGCTGCCTTACCAAATCTCCAGGTTAGCAACTCCACCAGACAAATTCGAAAGGGAATGCAAGGGAAGCCAACAGCCATGGATCTAACGCCAAGGCCAGGGATCTACAGAGGCCAACTTGATTCCACAGCGAAGAATACTAGCAGTAGACCATTACGATCGAAGCAAACTTCGGTGGAGTATTGTTCTATGAGAAGGGACATGGACAAGTCAGGCAGGAGCCAACATAATGTTGGCCCTAGATTGCGACAAAAGAAGCTTGGGTTTGAAAGGCAGTCTCGGCCCACAACTCCCACATTAGAGGCAGGCAAGATCCAAAGGCAGCTCAGTAGGCAGCAGACAGAGCTAGCCTTCCCGCGGAGAAAACAGGGTACAAAGTCTCGTAATTCGCAGCAATCCGTTGATCAGCTGAGCGATGCAAGCAGTGACCTGAGAAATCTCAGTCACCAGAACGATGCAAGATCACTTAGATCTGACAGCAACGTAAGCTCAGTCTCAAATGCTGACATTGAGGTTACAAGCAGATACAGGTATGACAGGCCCTGTGATATCTCAGAGCAGCACACACCAAAACAAAAGGTATGCACCATCTGCCTCTCACTCTTATTCACTTCACAAGTAAATTGCTATAATTCTAATTAAACCCTCGTTGTTTGCGGTCCTCAGAGTCCAGATTTGGGATTTAAGCAAGACGAACCCATGCTAAGACATGTGAAAGTTACGTTGGAGCAACCGAGCCCAGTTTCAGTACTTGATGCAGCCTTCTATGAAGATGAATCCCCATCCCCTGTCAGGAAGATATCCATTGTCCTTAAAGGTGAGGCACTTAACTTCACACTGGTACCCCACTACCCCTTTGCCAGACCTGGAGAAATAGATGCAACCGATTTGGTAACTGATAGCAAAATACTATATGGCTGGCAACTCCAAGTTCACCTATACTAATTCATTATTATACTTAAAGAAAATACAGATAGATAACAGTGTTATGTTTGTTTGACGTTCTAACCTTCTTTTGCCTACATAAAAGCCAACCCAGCATTATGCTAACTCCTTTACGACTTTCTCTTGCCACAGAGGATGATATTCTAAGTGCTGAAGATACAAGCCAGACGGCTCTTGGCTTCAGAAGATCCGTCGTGTTGCCTAAAAATGACAGAAGGTTAACACATACAGAGTCTGACCTTGTTGAGTGCTTCATGGATGAAGTTGCATTCATATGTGACATAAAAAACACTGACCACAAGTACATCTCGGAGATACTGTTAGAATCAGGGCTCCTGAGGGATCTAGAATACAGCATGATAAGCATTCAGTTGCACCAATCACGCCTTCCAATCAACCCCAACGTATTCTTTGTCCTGGAACAAAATAAGGCAAGTGATGTACTTCTACAAGACAGACACAGAGGCAAAGGAATTGGCCAAATAAACCATACTGAGAATATCAGGAGGAAACTCGTATTTGACACTGTCAATGACATTCTAGCCCAAATATTCATAGCAGAAGGTTTTACCAAGCCACAAATAAAATCAAGCCCGCTTTTGGAGAAAAGATCAAGAGGGAAGTACCTTCTGCAAACTCTGTGTTCAGAGATTGATCGGTTGCAAGCTAACAACTCTAAGTGTAGCTTGGACGATGATGAAGATATCATATGGGAAGACCTACAAAGTCAAGGTATGAGCTGGAGAGATTTTGAAGGAGAAATTCCAGAGATAGTGTTAGACATTGAGAGAATGATTTTCAAGGACTTGATCAATGATGTCGTGACAAGCAAGGTAACAGCTGTTCGAGGAAGGTTCAGTGGACAACCCAGGCAGCTATTCCCGTGCTAGTTGTCTTGCCTGTTTCACAATACTACTAAGATGTTTCCCTTTCCCTAAGGATAGTGCAGAGAGATAAGTGAAGTATCATTTTTAGAGGTTATTTCTAAGTTGACAATAATGTGAAGACAGATTGTTTCTATTTCTAAGATACATGTAGAAGCTCACTAAGATACGTGTATAATGCAATTAATATAACTGTGTCTATTTCTGATCCTGACACATGATAACTGATACTCATCAAATGCATTTTCTCTCTGTTACAACACCAATCACCAGAAAGTTAAAATCTTACTGATAAAAGTAGCACAAAAAGCCAATGGTTGCATCAGGAGGAGGATCACACAACACGGGTTAATTCACAAATCATTTATGGAGCACAGACATAGAAGAAACAAGGTTACAAGAAGGCCTTCATATAGAGTAAGCGTGAGCCCAGCATCACAAATTTGGAAAATATAAGCCATTATTTCTATGAAAAGCAAAGACCGGAATCTAAGAAAATAGCCTATTTGGCCGTTTCCAGCTTCTAAATCGACCATGAAGAATGGTCACATCCAAGAAATAGATCATTAAGGGTACCCAAGTTCCTATGTTCTTCTTCAGGAAACTGAACGAATTTCCTTCAAGAGGCTACATCGAGATATGAAACATCAATAAGGGCCAGCCAAAAAGCTAATCCATATATTCACACGGTAATCTTTCATTCTTTTGTGAACTTGATAACCAACCTTTTATATATGCTCTGCCAGTGAAAGACAAACACAGATTCACGAATTCTGCAGCCATTTCTTTTACTCTTTGCATTCCCCATTGATCTTCATGGTACTATTTTCTTTCCTTATTGATCTTTTAGTGTACACCTAACCTGCAAATTATAATTCAGGAGTCTGCTTCTCATTGTAATATGTAAGCCAAATTTTCAAAGAATTCCTAGCGATAAACCAAATAACATCCTTGAAGGACAAAACTCTCCCTCCCTTTTCAGGAGTAAAATCTTCTTATAAGGATATTTTCATTTTTCATGTTTTGGATGCCACATAGTTGTCTATGAATCTCCACATCATGATGATGAATACATCAGTTTCAGGTTAAAAAACAAATAAATTGATTGGTCTGAAATAATCCAGTCTGACAGGTCAAATTTCTAAGCACAAACAATTTGAATATCGAGATATAGCCCCCGGCAAAAGCATAAGAGAAAGCTCACTCCAAACAATACACATGGAACTTCAACAGATCATTGATCCATTTAACAAAAATTTCATTTAGAAAGAATATTTCACGTGTCTAGCAGGCGCATACCTCCAATGATGTCAAAGACCAACCATCTTTTCCTCCAGCAGTTTGAAATTAGTAAATTTCTTTC